ATGTTCCATTACAGGATTGCCAAAACATTGCCAAATCAAAAGTCAAAAGGAAAAAAAAAACAACTAGTCTAAGTCTTCAAATGAACCATAGCTCCAACACTTCATCTTATTTTCCTTCGAAATAACCTTCACCATTGTAAACTGCTTCATCACCTGGCATGACATGCCATGAGATTGGAATGCCTAGTAAAAACACACACACCCCCATATCTTCTATCAACCAATCAACCATACACAAAACAAATTGGGTAACATAACATACAATAGTTATATGAATTAGTAGTTAGACAAAACATCTAGAATCTCCCAAAGAGATCCTTCTACCCAACCACAAGGATTGAGCATCGGGCTATTCAAAACTCCTCCTTTTGCTGCTTTGCAGACCTTACCACCTATGCCCACCTCCCGGTTATTTACCGGTCAGTGACATTGATGGACCTCAAAAGGGACGGCCAAACAAGTGGGTTCACTTACACCCAAATCGTGCCTCAGGCTCACTTACACCCTGCACATACCATACCAAAGGACTCGCTTACACCCTAAAACCACCGCATAGAGTCTGAATACATCCGTGTCAACCTAGGAGCTCGCTTAGACCGCTTACACAAGACTTAACTCATTTGGTTTTAATCCCATCATAATTCATGTCATTGATATGTATAAATTACTCCACAACACTAATGTGAACGTCACCCATTGCCAACCCCTTATCATTTCCTGTTTATTAGATCTTTTGCCAAGCAAGTTAGTCATATTTGGTAATTCGGTAATATAAAAAAGCATGAGACAAGCATAAGAGAGGAAATATAGCCCATGATAATCATACATAAGTACGGTAAGGAAAGCAAACAACATTAGGCATACTTTGAAATACTTGGAGACAAATAACGCAATAAAACACCATTTTCAGCACTATTCAGTTATGCAGGGCTGACAAGAATACTTTGGTAACAATACTTCTCGGTCAAATTAGGGGCTGAAATTGCACAGAAACAATAATCAACTTGTCTAGTTTTAGTTCCAATTCTCAGAATTTGCACAACACCTCAAAAATTCATTCACAAGCTATATTCGAAAATCTGTCCAGATTTGTCACCCTTTGGGAAAACTAGCTTTCCTCTCAATCTACCTGATGATTTTCAGCCAAATAAATTCTATTGGAAAGAGGACTCAGAATTCTAAATTTTGACAAAATAAACCACATGAGATGATTTTTCTAGAATTTTATAAAATTGAAAGAAGTGGAATGTTTTTCAGAGACTCAAGACCAGATTTTTAAACACAATGGCCCCGTTTGGTTGAGTTGTGGGAAAGTGATTATAGCTCACACCTTAACAGCTTATATCTTATAACTATGAACATAAGCTGATTTTTTACTTATAAATTAAGCTTCTCCTCCCCCACTCAAAGAATAAGTTGATTTTTGACTTACAAAAAACTATAAGCTGTATTGTTAAGCTGAACCAAACACATCAAAATAGCTTAAATTAAGCTAAAAGCTGAAATAAGCCCTACCAAACAAGGCAAATATTCAAGCCTTAAAATCACACAAGGAGGGGCTAATAAAATTATCACAAGCTCTAAACACACCAAATATCCTATATTAAATTCAAATTTGAGAAATAAATAAATTTGATATTTCTTTTAAATTAGAGAAGTTGCAGCAGTGCATAATTTGACAATTTGTAAGGCAAAGTCACTAAATCAAACCCACACTTTCATACACATCAAAAACCCTTTTTACCATTAATATGCAACACAAGAGGGCATCTAGACAATAGGATGAGATGGGTGAAAGAATTGGAGAAGACATGGAAGGGGTGTGTTCTTACATTAACTCAAGAAAACAACTTGATTTTTGATTTACAAAAAACTATAAGCTGTATTGTTAAGCTGAACCACACACATCAAAATAGCTTAAATTAAGCTAAAAGCTGAAATAAGCCCTACCAAACAAGGCAAATATTCAAGCCTTAAAATCACACAAGGAGGGGCTAATAAAATTATCACAAGCTCTAAACACACCAAATATCCTATATTAAATTCAAATTTGAGAAATAAATAAATTTGATATTTCTTTTAAATTAGAGAAGTTGCAGCAGTGCATAATTTGACAATTTGTAAGGCAAAGTCACTAAATCAAACCCACACTTTCATACACATCAAAAACCCTTTTTACCATTAATATGCAACACAAGAGGGCATCTAGACAATAGGATGAGATGGGTGAAAGAATTGGAGAAGACATGGAAGGGGTGTGTTCTTACATTAACTCAAGAAAACAACTTTTCTTCCTTCTTCTTCTTCTTCTTCACTTCCTTATAGTTCACAATTTCCTCCTCTCACCCTTTCCTTGGCTGCTGAAAATATGTGTAGGAAATGTAGAAAATGTTCTCAATTTATAGGCAAGGGATTTAGGTTGAAAATACAATTTTACACTTACTCAATTATTAGGGAATGTGAAAAATGTTCTCAATTTATAGGCAAGGGATTTAGGTTGAAAAGACAATTTTACACTTACTCAATTATTGTTCCTTAATGGCTAAGAAAATTATCTTAATGACTAAAGTAGGCATAAATATCTAGATATTTTTTTATTTTGTTTTTCAACCAATTTTCCACCAAAATATTATTTATAATACCGATGTACATATTTAAATAAATAATAATATTCTATTCAAATAAATAATAAATATTCAAATAAATAATTAATGAAAGAACAACAAAAACAAAAATAAAAATAAAAATAAAATGTATGAATTAATTCATAAACTAGGAGGTAAATAAATAAAAATCAAGTTTTAGGGTATTTCCAATTATAAAAGTGGTGTTCTAGGATTTAATTATAATATAAAATAAACTACAAAAAAATTATTCTTTATTGGACCATTTTGTAAAATTTTATGAAATTTGGGACTAAAATGCAATTTACCTAAGACTTAGGGTTTCAAGTGTAATTACCAAAAATTAGGATCTCTACAAAGGCTAGTATCCCAGAGTCTAAAATGGTCCGCCAACCCATTACCGTGATAGGTTTTGGTGGCGAGAAAAAAGTTACTAAGGGCCATGTTGTAGTGGACTTAGCAATTGGCGGAATCCGTTCCGCGACCAAGTTCCATGTGATCGAAGCTGACACAAATTACCACATGATACTTGGCAAAGCTTGGATGCACCGATATGGGGTTATCCTGTCTAGTTATCACCAATGCGTAAAGGCAAAGTTGGGAAAGCTCACAGTGACCATAAATGAGTTTGAAAAACCATTTGGAGTAGAAGAGGCACACTATTCTGATGCAGTTGTCTTTATTGAGCTGTCAACAGATGAAACTTCAAGGACTGGTAAGGTTACAGGGGTAAAATTGCCGAAGTGGGAAGACATTCGAGATGTAGAGGCTGCTCTAGAAAGCAGTGGGCAAAAAAAGAGCAGCAAGTCCATAAGTCCTCCACCCAAGATTGTTAAGGTGCGCGAGGGCAACAAGACAGTTTACTACCTATGACGGTCCTGGGGGCCAGACTTCATACCTTGGAAGAATGGCCCCAAGGCAAATAAATATGATGATGATGAGTCCCAAGAAGGGTTGGTAGAGACGATTGAGCCCGCCCCTGAATGCATGCAAGATAGATCCAAACTGCAGCAGGAGGTACTTACTGAAGTCAACCTCAGCGACTTACCAGGACAGAGCAAGCCCGTGTTTATCACCGATACAATGGCTTCAATAGCTAGGGCAAAATTGATAACACTACTGAAGCGGTACAGTGATTTCTTTACTTGGACATACGATGAGATGCTTGGTCTTGACCCATCTCTTTTCACCCATCACCTGGACACTTTTCCCAACTCTAAGCTAATAAAACAGCATGTTCGAAAGTATCACTCTGATCTTGAGGCAAAGATTAAAGAAGAGATCGAAGAGTTACAGAGGGCCAAGTTCATTAAGCCTATACAGTACCCAACTTGGCTAGCAAATATTGTGCTTATGAAAAATAAGAACAACCAAATCAAGGTCTGCGTAGACTTTTTCGACTTAAACAAAGCTTGCCCAACAGATGAGTTGTCATTGCCCTATATTGACACACTTGTCGATTCTATCATGGGCCATCAGATGTTCTCCTTCATGGACGGGTTTAGTAGTTATAACCAGATCAAAATGGCACCAAAAGATGCAGAAAAGACAGCTTTTAGAACGCCTTTAGGAAATTTTTTCTATACAGTGAAGCCATTCGGTTTGAAAAAAGTGGGGGCAACCTATCAACAGGCTATGACTGCAGTGTTTCATGACATGTTACATCATGAAGTGGAAGTATATGTAGATGATCTGGTGGTAAAGTCTACCAAAGCAAATCGGCACCTTTGCGACTTGGAAAAAGTTTTTTAGCATTGTCAAAAAATTTGCTTAAAAATGAACCCTCTCAAGTGTGCCTTTGGAGTTACCGCAGGCAAGTTCCTTGACTTTTTGGTACACCAACGGGGGATTGAAGTAGATGGGGATAAGATTAAGTCAATCATGGAGATGCCACCGCCACATTCTCAAAAGGCCTTGAAGAAATTCCTAAGTAAAGTGTCATACCTCAGGAGGTTCATTCCAGCCCTTGCTGAAATAACCTTTTCCTTTTGGGACACTACTGAAAGGGAATCACAAGTTTGAATGGTTGCAAGAACACCAACAAGCATTTGATATGGTGAAGAAAACACTTACCGCTCCACTTACAATGATTGCCCCAAAACCTACAAAACCTCTGCTACTGTACTTGACCTCTACACCCCGGTCTATTGGAGCTCTACCTGTCCAGGACACAGATGGTGTTAAGAAACTAGTCTATTATATCAGCCGCAAAGTCAATGGCATTGAATCACAGTACACCCCGATTGAGAGGCATTGTTTAGCCTTAATCTTCACAGCACAGAAGTTGTGCCACCATTTTTTGGCACACTCGATCTAGTTGTGACCAAGAGTGATCCAGTCCGCTACTTGCTGAGCAAGCCCGCTCTGACTAGAAGAATGGTAAGATGGCTTTTGGCTCTAGCAGAATATGACATCACTTGCGTTACTCCCAAGGCTATTAAGAGCCAAGAACTCATAGACTTACTACCACAATTCCCATCTGGTGAACATGAACCTGCAGAGGTACCTCTACCAGGTGAGGTTCACGTCTCAGCAGCTGCAATTGAGACTTATTGGGACTTAAAATTTGATGGAGCTTCTGTAGCTGGGAAAGGTGGAGCTGGCATAACACTAACCAGTCAAGAAGGAGAAAAGTTTCATCTATCATATAAGCTTGACTTTGAATGTTCAAACAACGAGGCCGAATACGAGGTGTTAATACTGGGTCTAATTGTTGCTCAAAAGAAAGGCCTCTGCAAGTTAAAAATTTGGGGCGACTCTAAGCTAGTTGTCAAGCAAACAATGGGTGATTTCACCTTGAAGGAGCCTCTGTTGGACCCATATCGCACTATAGTTCAAAAGTTGCTTACTCAATTTGATGATGTCCAAATCCAGTATACCCCTCGAACACACAATCATTTCCCCGATGCCTTCGTTACATTGGGTGCAAAGGTGGATATACCAGATAATAGTATAGCCATCATCATTGAGAAAAGAACAACACCAGTAGTGTTAGCTGAAGAACATACAAAGCAAGATGCTGAGGGATGGAAAGCAGATATAATCCAGCAACTGAAACCAGGCTAGGAAACAATCAGACCAACAGAACTTGCATCATTCATGCTCCTCAAAGGAGAGTTATATTTTCATGGTCCCAACAACCTATTAGCAAGGTGCGTCGGCAAACAAGAAGCAACTTACAAACTTAAGGAGATTCATGCTAAGTCATGTGGAGATGGAGATATCAGTCTATACCGAAGGATGTAAAGGTAAGGGTATTACTGGCCAGAGATGGAAAAGGATAGCACTGAGTTATAGAGGCAATGTGCAGAATGTCAGTCACATCCTAAAGAGGAAGAATCCCATTTCTTAAGTAGTGAGAAATGGAGGAAGCCATATATTGACTATCTTGGAAATGACACATTGCCTGAGAACAAAATCGATGCAATTAAAGTTAAGAGGCGGGCCTTCGGCTTCTTCTTTGACTAAGGCAAGTTATGCCACAGAAGCTTTGAAGGGAAACCTTTGGCGTGTTTACAAAGGACGACACAAATGAAGTGCTGAGAGAAGCCCACAAAGCAGAACACCAAGGAGCGCAGCGATTGTATGGGCACCTTATTCACCTCGGCTACTACTGGCAATGGAAGAAGATGCTAAAAACTTTGGTCCTGTTTGGTAGAGCTGTGGGAAAGTGCTTATAGCTTATGCCTCAACAGCTTATAGCTTATAACTTTCGACTTAAGCTGATTTCCAGCTTATTCTTAAAGCATCTCCTGCCCCCACTCAAAGAATAAGCTGATTTCTGACTTCCAAAAAGCTATACGCTATAAGCTATAAGCTAAACTAAACACATCAAAATAGCTTAAATTAAGCTAAAAGCTGAAATAAGCTGTAATTAAGCTCTGCCAAACAGGCACTTTGTAAGGAGATACCAATCCTGCTAGAAGTTTGGGAGCTTGATACACACACCGGCGGTTGAACTACACAACATCAAGGCTCCTTACCTGTTTCATACTTGGGCATTTGACCTAGTAGGTCTTATAGCACAGTAATCCAAAGGCCACAGATAGATACTTGCAGCGACTGAAGTTAGTAACAAGTGGGTAGAGGCTATACCAATGAAGAAGGTAGATGGGGTAGAAGTGGCCAATTTTATCAAAGAAAACATAATCTGTAGGTTTGACATACCCAATGTGATATTGTCTGATAATGGGACCCCCTTTGTGAACCGCCATGTGGGAAGATTGTTGGATGCTTATTAGATCAAGCACCACAAGTCTATCCCATATTACCCGTAAGGGAACGGACAAGCTAAGGCAACCAACAAAACACTCATCCGAATACTGAGTAAAATGATGGATGAAGTAGGGGGCACATGGTCCAAGCAACTCCCCGTAGCACTCTGGGCATATAGAACGTCAAAGAGAAAGCCAACTCGGGCAACCCCATTTTCCCTAGTATATGAGTCTGAAGCTGTGTTACCAGTTGAGTTGGCAGTACCCTCAGCAAGAATGGCCATGTCAGCACACTTAGTCCTAGACAGCAAGAAGAATGACATAGAAGTAGCTGAAGAAAGAAGAGATCGGGCCTCGTGAGTGATGGAAAAGTATCATCAATCCATAGCTTGCACCTATAATCAATCTATTCAACACAAAGAGTTCAATGAGAGGGACTTGGTATGGAAAACAGTGGACGCAATCATGCGGAGGCAACCAATCCCCAAGTTCTCACCAAAATGGGAAGGCCCCTACAAAGTTGCTAAGGCAAGTAGTAGTAGGTATTACAAGTTGATAAGAATAAATGATGGGTTTAGAACTAGCCCTATGTTGTATGTAAAGGAGTATTTTCCTTAATTTCTTTTGTTCAGAAAAAGAGTTGTAAGTTTTTTTGTTAATACTTCCAAAGCAAAGTGCAAAGAAAGTGTCATACACTTAGTAAACCTATTACTCTTGTAAGAACTTAGTGTGAGGAAATTTTTCCATACTTGTGAAATTTTATCCTTGTAAAAACCTAGTTATAGCGAAGTTCTGTTCATAGCAAGAGTTTTGTTCAGTCTTAGAAGATATGTAAAGACAATGAAAAAAAAAAAGGGCAATGAAGTAAGGCTCAATATCTTTACTTCTCATAAACATCAAAGTTTTCCATAGCATGATTACAATGTTCAAAAGGCAAAGGAGAAAGAAAAAGATAGCAAAAATGCAAAGAAAAAGAGTCATAACAAAGCCATGATACATCAAATCAAGCCCTTCATGAGGGAGTCCATCAGGGTCACATCCTGAGGCAATTGAGAAACTAGTGCAAAGTCTTTTTCTTTGAACCGAGCTAGGTTCTGCCGATGTTGCTCCAAGGCACCCTCATACTCTTTGATAGTCTTCTCAATGGATACAATCATCGCCACATTGTCTGCATGCTTAAGGAAGCCATTGACTGCCTAACGCCTATCCCTCATCCACGATAGGTCCAAACCATTCCTCTCAAAGCCGCTCAGAGTGGCCTCAGCACTTTTCATGAACTTGCTCAGAGTTGTCAGAATCTTCTTAGTAGCAAGGTCACGAATGAAACTAGCAAGTGACTTTAGTAGTACTGTCTGTACCATAGAGCCCGGAACGTTAAAAGTAGTAAAGGTGCCAGGGTGTAGCACCAAGATGCGGGCAAGAGTGTGAATAGCTTCGGAGGAGACCCAATAACTTAGAAAATAAACTTTCCCTAAGGATTGAGGGAACTTTCTTGCACCGCGGCCAACTTCAATTACTAGGGGGAGACTGGCAGAACGACCAAAGGTCTGAAGGTGACTCACCTCCCCTGAAGATGAATGTCCAACGACATTGGAATGAGTAGATGCTGGGAGGCAACCGGGCGAATTGACCTTGCGAGAAAGGCCAAAGTTGTCTGTACCATCATGTCACTCTGAAAAGATGTCGTCCATATGGTAGTCCTCAACATTCAGATCTGGCACAACAGTGGTGTCCATGCCCACATAAAAGTCTCTGGATCCCCCAAGATTAGCTAGCACCTCAGCGAAGTGAGTGGGGTATAGATCAGCGAGCTGTTCAGAAGTTGCTGAGGCAATATAACGATCCCGGTTTTGACCTGTCTGTTTGTGGTGTTTCGGGCTCGAGTTGCTATGGTTTTGAATGGTGTTACGTGTATCTTAGTTCCCTGTATTTCCTTTATTTTGGTTATCGGGTTGTAACGGTGTGTTTGGAACAGGTAATGTCTCATATTTGTATCGAGTTGTAGCATATCTTTCATGTTTTGCCACTTCGCTGAATATGTCGGGGATCGAGCTGCCCGGTTAGCTCACGGGGGTCCAGGGAGCAACGCCCTGGTGGGGTCGAGGAGCAGCACCCCCGAAGAAAAAATGCAAAATGCATTCGAAGTTACTTGTCTGCTCGAGCGGCCGTTTATGCGCTCGAGTGGAGAATATTTGGTTCCAGAAGTTTGACCTATCTGCAAAAGTACTGGGAAGGCGTATTTGACACTCGAGTAGGGCTTTCCATGCTCGAGCGGACCATGTTATATCAGTTCATGAATCTGATATTTCAGATCACTTTTGTATATCTCTCTCTCTCTAAAAAATATTTCCTCTCCCTTCTCTCTACATTGCTCTACACAAACTAGATTAAAAAAAAAAAAAAAAAAACCTTGATTTCTCAAGATCCATTTGAGTTTTGCCATTGTTTCCTCATCAAAGTGGGTTATCATCTCGAGGGCTTCGTTGTGTGAGGTGAAGATCGAGTTTAGGCATCATTGATTTTGGGGTTTCATCTCTGCTCTTCTTCAAACTTGAGGTAGGGATTTTCTTTGAGTTACATATATATTTTTGCAAGATCTAGATGATTTTCGAAATCATCCTTTGATAGCTTTTGAAAATTGATTGTTGATTCAAGAAGTTGAGCGATTTTGAAAGTAGGTTTGTCTCTTGTTTTTTTAAAATGATCTTTTGGGTTTTGATCTTCATTGATTGAACAAAAAAATGATTTTGGAAAGTTTTCTTTCAAAAGATTTGAGTTGTATAGTTTTGGTGAGAAAACCTAGAAATTGAGGATTTTTAAAAGAGATTGAAAATCCATGAATGATATTGTTATATTTATTTTATGTGTCAAAATAAATGGATGTTTGGAAATTTTCTTATTTATATTTATATAAATGATGAATTTCATAGAATATGAGAATTGTTGTTCATTTTGGAAATTTTAGTTCAAAACGTTGAAATAGTCTTGAAATGACTAATTGTTAAGGATACTTGAAAAGAAGGAATTGTGTTATTTCTTGGATGATGAATTGGAATAAAAGTATTTATTTTCATCTTGTGAAATTGGCATATTAATTCATTCGATTACATTAAACTTTGAAAGTTGATTTGAAAACTTGCATTGAGAAAAGAATGTTGAGAAACAAGTTTTCATGGAATTGTTTTGGAGTAAATACGTTGGTAAGTCTTCATAGGTGGTGTAGATGATATTGAATAAGTTGGCTTGAGAGTTCGGCGTGAAAGACCGAAAACCCGCACGGATAGGTGTCGAGCCTTCCAGTTAATACCGGTAAAAGTGACAATTTTGTAGTACTTGTATAGTCTACTTGCAGACACTGACCTAGGGATTATCAGAGTTGAAGTGAATGTATTATCGCCTGAAGACTATTTGTATCATGTAATGCAAGTGTGGAGATTTATTTTCAGTTTTACTTTAAAGAACCATGGTTATTATATTATCATTTGGGTATAAAAATTGGGACGTTACAGGCAACTAGGTCAAAAGCATCAGCAGCAACAATAGCACCATGAGTGGCTAGGATGACAGCTACCTCTGCAAGTTGGGCCAAGTTTGGGAGGCCCACATTAGGAATAGCCGCTACATCTGCACCTCCCTCAACAACTTGAACATTGGAAAGTGGGGTCTGTTGAACCAATGGAGACTCAATGGACTGGAAAGAACCCTCAGATACAGCTGCCAAGGGGGGTGGTGCAACTTCTAATGGCTCTCTTGCGCCACACTCTTCTCTTAGAGTCTCGGGAACAAAATCATCTACGTCAACGGAGAAACGGTCAGAATGAACAGAATCAGCAGGGTTTGGAGGTTCTGCAC